AGTTCATCATACAAACCTCGATCAATACGGCGGCGGTACAGCCGCTCCCGTTCATCCTCTCTGTCCCTTCGCTCACGATCATAGTGGCCGTCGTCATCACGTCGTGAACGAGGCGGCCGGTCAAGGTCTCGGTCTCGTTCCCTTTCCCGGTCGCGGCCAGAGTCACGGTCGCGATAGCGATCACGATCAGCATGACGATCTCTGTCACGCTCCCGTTCCCGTTCTCGTCGCGGTGGCGGAGACAATCGGCCCCCGCGGTCGCTGGCCAAAAGATTTTCTGCCATGGTTGACTTGCGATGGTTTCGTTCTCTTTCTGCGATGGCTTTGCGCCGATCGGCTTCATACGGGTCCTGCTCTGGGCTACGACTGCGCCTTACAGGACGGGTACCACGTTGAGATCTCTCACCTCTAGACCGGTCCCTTTCACGACGGAAAGCCTCGCGCTCAGTAGAGACACGGCTTCCTCGCCTATGGCCACGATCGGCGTCATCCTCTTCCCTTTCTCGAAGTCGCCTCATGTGCTTATCAAAAGCGCCTCTTCGGAGGTCTTCGGAAATGACGGCCTGGAACTCTTCTGTTTTCAGTAGTCGAGGTCGTACCTTTTCAAATGTGTCACCCGACACAATGGGTGGATCAAGACGTTTCAAGAGTGCTCGTAAATCTTCAACGGCGCGTCGTTGTTGCCGATCAGATTGTTTGTCATCGTCCCGCTTGGCAGCGCGTTTTTCGCGGAGCTACAACCCATGTTAGCTTATAGTTGGGCAGCAGCGGGCGGAAATGTTCAATGGAAGACTGACCCGTTCAAAAATCAGTTGCAAGATGTCATTATCAATGTTAGCAGTACGTCGATCATCCTTCATAATAGACAGAAACTCTTGGAGATCGCTCGTTGGGGTGAGCTCAAACCGTTTGTCCTGCAGAGGTCGTTAGTTTGTACCTGTGCAATGACGCGTCCTGGCCCATGTGGCAACACTTACTTCAAGAACATCTAGAACATCATTTCTCGGTCCCCGAAGGGACCGCTCTTCTTCCTCGACAACATCCCAGAAAAGCTCCTGCGGTGTAGAACCATCATGACCCAACATATTCGTGTATCGCTCGTCTCGCTCCAGTTTCGGATGAATGTTGCTCCATTTGACACCGGGCTTGATTATACCGTCTTGTCGAAGCTCGGAGAGAAGTGACTTGAATGCATCCCGAGCTTTGCGCTCTCTTCGGTACTTCATCTTCTTCTCGTGCTGCTTTTTCTCGTTTAAAGCACGCTCAAGAGATTTGATGTGGTCCTGGAAGGTGATTAATGTATCATATTTGGTGAGAGCCTGGTATTTTTCGTCGTTTTGGAACGCCGCAGAGATGACATCTTGAGCCTCACTCCACCGGGTGTAGGCCTTGATGTTGAGCTTTGGAAGGAGATCTTTGAGCGCCTCAAGAGCATTCTGGTGGTCTTTTGTCTCTTTCTCCTTGTGAGCCTTCTTCAGCCCCACAACATATTCCTCGAACAGTTGTCTGCGTTCCTCTTCATTATTTGTCGAGCGGAAGATCGTCTCACCCTCAATCATGGGCCGAGCTGTCTTCCAGCGAGTGTAGTGAACGATCTCGGGATGTCGCCTAAGCATGGTCTCGAAGTCGGCGCGAAGTTTGGCCATGCGCTCCTCTGCGCGCTCCTTATCCTGAACGATCATATCCTGGCAGTATTTGTCGAATGCATCTCGTCGGCCTTTCGGGTCCCGGATTGATCGGTACTGCGGATCTTTAATGATGGCTCGTATAGCATCGCTCCAGGTCCAGTCCGGTTGTACGCCGCTGCGCTTCAGCAATTTCATGAATGCAGCCTCTGCCTCTTCCGGGGACGCGAACTCGGGTTCGTCACTGGCGGCAGGAATGAAGGCCGGAGCCTTGGAATCATTACCGTAGCCTCCCTGGCGCGAATCAGGACCGGAGTATTCACGATGATCTCGACTTTCGCGGGGATGTTCGTAGCCGCCGTGGGAGTGGCCTCCGTTCTGACCATAGCTTGGCTGACCACCACTCTGCCCAAGCGCATTCCTATAGACATCAGGCATCTCCCACGAGCTTTGCTTCGTCTCGGTATTGTACCAATATTTTCGGCCGCCTTCTGCTGTGTATTCCTTCCATGGTTGACTTGAAAGAGCACGCTGCACGCCAACTGTGGTTAGCATTAATATGCAAGACAGCGCGATGATATAACATACCTCTGCAGGCGTCATAAGATCCTCAGGCTTAGTCCACTGAGTCACCTTGGTTGAACTATTGTAGTAATAGGCCCGGCCGTCAGGAGTGTGATGCTCCTGCCAAGCCGAGGCAGCTTGAGCGCCGTACCCGTTCATCGCGCCGCTGTCGCCACAATACTGATCATCCAGAAAGTATGTATAACCGGTGAGAACACAATCAATATTCGTCTGCGAAAGCGAGCACAGCGGCGACGGATATTGTTGACAGAGCCTCCGACGAGGGACAACTTTGTCGTCGAGGTTGATGGTGGGACAAGAGCGAAGAGGTTGATGGTGATTGCAGTTTCTGACGCACGAGCCAATGGGAAAGGCTGTTATGCAACTAAGCGGGGCCACCTTTAACGCGCCAAACGTCACGACCAACATCAAATGAGATCCCAGCCCGGTCTAAGGAGATGGGTTTTGCTGAACAGTCAAGAAATGGCACTTGCGATATAAAGTCGACGCAACATGAATGCTTGGCCGATTGGGAATCTATTCTTATTCTGACAGTATGGCTGGCGCTGGCGAGAGCCCCGACAAGGCCACCATTGCCAACGACGCTCCCACTGCCGTTGGGGACTTCCTTGAGCAGTCGTATCTCACGTACGTGGTGCCTTCGCGGACAAACATCAATCTAGATAGCGCATTCGAAGATGTCGGCGGCGGAAAGCCAATTCTCGAATCAATAGAACAACGGGAATCGCTCTTTTTCGGTATCGAAAGCTCACTTCGCTTCATGTCAAGTTCGCTCACTAACGTCGCGACTAGATGAAACCGTTGAAGTGCTTCTCATTCTCAAGATGCCATGGGCGGAAGAGAAGGAACTCGAGGCACAAATAAAACGGCTCGTCATCTCGCTTGAAGGCCAGATTGTTAACAACGTCCCAGCAGACCGGAGCTCACAACCGGTGTCTGAACCCATCTTCAAAGGACGGGTTCAAGATGTCACAGACCCCTTCACCGTCGTAGACGAAGAAAAGGTGGATGCCCAAGATGGCGTTTCTCAGAACATCTACGCCATGTGGAAACTTCCCGTGTTCTTAAGCCGGCCTAGAATACGGCTACAACACCCAACAGTCGTCTTCACCGCATCCGCGAGCGTCAAGCCCGACACCAGAGGCGAGGCCAGCACCCGCGGCGCGGGATATCTCCAAAGCGGCATGCCATCTAGCTTCAACCTTCTCGAATCCTTCTCCTCCGACCCGGCCCTCAACGGCATCAAACCACACTTGTCCGCCCTCCGCGTATCCAGAGTCGCCCCCGTCAGCAGACAGCAAGACCAGGTTGCGCACCTGCGCGCGCAGCCACACCTCCGAATACCAGTATACCCCGCGATCCACAGCCGGGTACGATTCTCCCGCCCAAACACGGCGCAGTCGACTTCTGCGCTCATTGCCATGCTCGAGGTCGATTTCACGCCCCACGTGGAATGCGAGGTCCTCCTCGACGACATCAACCTCGTCACCAATGACGGCACGGTGCAGAGCCTCAACGACGACGAGCAAATGAAGCTTCCCATGAGCTGCGTGTCTCACGACCACATTACGTTCCTATACCACATCAAACCACACCAGGTGGACAAGACGCCGAGAAACTTTACAGGATCGCTTGATATTTCCATCACCGCCACCGCCCAAATCGTCCCCGACGTCTGCACCCCCCAGCTGTCCATGCGCTGGACCGCAGCCCTCGACTTCACCATTCCCGTGAACCCCAGCTTCAACAACATGGCCGACTCATCCGGCATCCAAAGAGCTCACAAGCCCTCGCAGCTCTCCATCGGCAGCAACGCAACCGTTACGCCCCTAAAGTCCCCATCCATTACTCGCCCCGACGCCCTGCCCGGCCTTGAAGCTTCCACCCGCCCGGAAGCTGCAGTCCCCGATCTCGGCATCACCGTGTCCTTCACCGGCCCTTCGGAGCCAGTCCACCCCGGGGACGTATTCTCGTGGACAGTGTACGTTGTAAACCGGTCGTCTGACAAGACGAGCCGTCCGCCGCGGAAACTCGCTCTCGTTGCGGTGCCTAAGCGTCGTCGCAACGACACCCGACCTGCTCGTCCGCCGTCGACTGCGACTCGGCGAAGTGGCGAAAAGGAAATCGCCGATGCCGTGGTGGACGTCAACATTCTTCATGCTCTGCAGAAGAATTCTGTCATGGATGCAACCGACGTGATTTGTCTCAGTGCCGATACGCGCGTGGGACCCTTGGCCCCTGGGGCGTGCCATGTCGTCGAGTTGCAGTTCTTGGCCCTCCGTGAGGGCATTGTGGGTGTCGAGGCAGTGAGGGTAATAGACTTGGGATCTCAGGAGCATGTTGATATACGGGATTTGCCTACCACGATAGTGGAACCCGCCGCTGCATGAATAGGAAAGTCAAATACTACAGCACTCATGATTTGTATACGTCCTTTTCTGCTAACTTCATATATGCTATGTACAGTGCAGTTAAAATGCCCAATAGCCATGTAATAATAACCCTTTTTTTCTTCACAATAACTCCAGCGATGCAATGTTTTAATGCCTGGCCCTTCCTATTCTCATTTCACCCATCATGCCCAAATGCGTACCCGCTTGTGATCCCCCCTATGTAACGCCTTAAAGTGCTTGTTATAAACCCTCGTCAAATGTCATCAAAGTCATCGTCCCAACCGAGTTTCTCATAAATCGACACCGTCCTCTGCTGGTCAGATTCCTTGACAGGCACTGGACTTTGGATCAAATCCAGTCTTGATACATTCTTCCTGACTGGTGTTGCCATGACCTCGTCAGACAGTTTGGTCAAAGATCGAAATCCTGTGGGGTCTCCGACTGGGCTTTGAGGCCCAGCGGACTCATCTACCATGCCTATGTTTCTGCTAATCAGTGGAGATGATTGTGGAATCGCAAGCCCGTCGCTGGCCATACGTCTAATAAAACTGGCCTGCAGCGAGGGCCGGGCTGGTGTACCACAAACAAGATCCATAGCGGGCGAGACGCTATCCGCCAAAGCGTCTCTGTGACTATGTCTGTGTCCTGTGGACGGAATCAAATGGTCAATGCTCGAGGGAGGTATGACTTCCTCCATGCTTTCCAGAGGGACGTCTACGAGCGACTCTTGTTTCATCGCGAGGACGTCTCGGAAGCGATTGTTTGCTGGCGTGGCCTTAACATGAATTGAAGAAGCCAACGTGCTCCTAGGCATCCTCTTTGGTTCTATTTGGGGGTCAGTTTCCATGGAATTAGACAGGAAAGGGTAGGATCGGGAACTAACTCTTTGCAGACAAACTAGCTATGGCGCGGCGTTGGTCTGCTTCTGCCATAGCCTTGCCAACAACCTCACGATTCGGTTTCCTCAGGGCAGAAATTGCATCCTTCAGCTCTGCTTCCACCAGTGCCTTCCTACTTGCTTTGGTTTCTTCAAGATTGCTTGCGCTGTTACTCCGTGATAGTAAAGGTTGTCTTGATCTGCCCATTAGAGAGTCTACTCTATGTAGATCTTTCAAGGACAAGGGCTCACTTCCCTCGCGCTTTATTCCTGGCACAGACGTTGACGTTGCAGATCTTAATAGTGCGATTGTGTTGCTGGGGCCTCTGGAAACGCTGCGCCGATGTAGCTGCTCCGTTGATAGAGCCCGTTGCAGTGTTCTCCTGGAATTAAGCGGAGCTGGTCGCTTTGTAGCAGTGCCTGGCTTTTGCTCCTTTTTGCTAGAGAATCGCTTCAGTGCCTTGGATGTGACAGGAGACACAATAACCGGACCGCCGAGTTTGCGACTGATCGCATCGCATCGCTCTGGCAATCGGGCGGAAAAGCTGCGAAAGGCTTAGCATCCACCTCCACGATGAGAACCAAAGACTACTTACAAGGGTACAATTACATCCACACAAAAGTCCCTCAATGGCTCCGACGAGGCTTTCTGCTGGGTCTGGCCCTCGGCCAAAGTATGTGTAGCTTGAGAGTCTGCCAACAAGAGATGTTCATCAAAGGCAGTGGACTGCCAAATGGTAAGTCGGTCTGCGTGTACATCTAACAAGACGGGTAAGTTATGCTTGTTCCGCTTCTTAGGCGGGGTTGCCATATTCTGCTCTTGTTGGGAGTCTGCTCCTGGCAAGGTGGGCAGGTTCGAAACCGCGGCTTCATCCGCAGCTTTCAACGGCTCCAAGGCAAGAATTTCCAGAATCAGAATCATTTGAAGTTGAGTCTCCCTGGTTCGAAGCATCAAAACATGCGACTTGAGTTGTGTTGTCGAGATTGATGCTTCTTCCTCGTTAGTTTCCGGCTTGTTCGCATTCCACCACCTGCGGATGCTTTCGTCTTCCATGGGATATAATGAATCCTTTCCAAGCTTCATTTTTCTAAGCTTGCGCTTCTTCTTACGACCTTCGTCTGAAGTCTCGATCAAAGTCTTCATTTTGGCAATGATTTCTGGAATGGTTTCACGATATTTTTTGTCTATTTGCATCGTCGTAAGGATCAGACTCTTCAAAAATTCGATCAAGTCTGACATGTTCAAATTGGACTCGAGATCCAGGTGGAATGCGGATCGCGCTCGTGAAAGGGGACCTTTGGCAAAATACGCCAACGAACCCTAAAAGAAGTCAGCAGCTGAACCACGGCGGAGTCCAGGGAGTAGATATACCATAGATCTGTACAATGCTTCAAAATATTGCGTGCGAATATTGTCAAATATTTCCTCTGCGGTTTGTTGCGACGAAGCTGGCGTCGCGTCGTCAACGGAAGTCGTTGACGCATCCTGTACGTTCACCAAATGTTGTTCGTCGGATTTGATCTCTGGGGGTGGCAGTCGCGATACCCGTGTGTCTACATCCACTTCGTCGTTTTTTTCGATGCTTCCATGTTCTTGCTGCACCGCCTGAGGCTTTGATTTCTTCCTGACGAGGCTTTGAATAGCCTCAATGGCAGCTCTCTTCTTCTTATGCTCCTTGTACAAATGGGGTGTCGTCAATGCCGCGCTATCTTCCCTCTCGTGTCGGTGCTGCGTGGCAGGAGCCAGACGTTCGTGGCATAGTGCCGTGGCCCGCCTTGCCAATTCTCCAAGGTCGACCCAAGAACCCAGTTTGCACATGACGTACAGACCATTTTGTTGTCTCTCGAGGGCATATATTGTGCGTTTTGGCTCGTTTCTTGCAATTACAATGCTCGGTGAAGACCCTAGGCGACTTTCAAGATCCAGAATCTTGACATGAGACTCGACGAAACGGGTCTGTGGTAATTCATTATCGGGGGCAGAAAAATCGAGACTAGCCAGAGGCAAATGTTCCCGGGGAAGTAACATCAAAGGTAACAAGACCCGGGGTTGGGTATGCAAATTTGGCGGATGCGGCTATGTACGTTCGTTAGCAAGGTCCAGTCAATGACGGAGTTTAGATGTCGCGAAGCTCTCCAACCTTGACTGTAATGGACGGCTTGAGGAGGGGGTCCATTGCCGCCGCATCTGCTCGTCTGTTGGTACGTCCATCTGGCGAACTGAGGTGCTGGCGGTTCAAGCTCCTGTCAGAGCTGGGTGTCAATATTCCGGACGGTGGACGTGACGCGTCTGCGTCAGGCACAGCAGGCGAGGACATAAATGACTAGGTATACTCATTCGTCAAAGGGCATGGTAAAGAGAAACAAGTCTTTTCTATGAAATGAGACGACAAATAAATACGCTCAGAGCACCAATGCATGTACAAATAATTTCTATGTGGTATGGCGGTGTGTCGTTTGTACATATATTTGATTGAAGGTGAACCAATTCAATGATAGACGCGTCGAGGTACAAAGTACAAACGGTGACGTCGGGCTGGCCCAGTCAAAGTGGGGGTCAAAGTGGGGGTCGCTCAAATGTTGCCTCCCTGCCTCTTCACCAAAATGTGAGGCAAAGCGAGGCACCTTGTCACCACATGCTGTACCACAATTGACTGGACGATATTTTTGACTTTAAGATTTACGTACAAGTTTGTATTGTACTCTATTCCGTGGAACTTGTTTGTTAAATACAGCTAGCATTAGCAACAAACCTTGCCTGCCACGCTACTCTGTCTAGATCGAGGTGTCCGAGAAATACGGCTACCACAAAGCAGCACAGCCCGAGACGCATGTGAGGATGATCCAAATGGCTCGGAATGATATCCTGTAGGCCTCTATCAAACTATCCATCACTTCGTTTGAAATTTGTAAAGTCCGCGCCCGTGGAATGAAGCCAATCGCTTGAGTTAGATCGTCCAGCAGAAGTCCGAGAGACAGATTCGTGAAGATCCAACCCAGACAGGGCCCGATACGGTAAGTCGAAAGATATGAGTGAGATGGCACTAAATACCGCCGTGAAACATCATAGAGGGAGAATCGAAACGGCTGACTTCAGTAGCTCCTCAAGCACAATAGACTGAAAGAAGAGTGGAAAATACATGAGAGCTGTATACATGACTGCTCCATGGAGAGTGCTTCCGATCAGACACACGACTGCAGTCCTGTTATAAAGTCGACGGTATGGAAACATGGGCACAGACGTCCTAGATTCGTAACACATCAATCCGAATATAATGAAAAGCCTACCACAAGGGGCAAGGTGGTTCTCCAAGACGACCACGGGTATAGCGAGTCGGCCGCCCGCGGCAAACAGACACATGCCCAAGTAACACGACCTCGGCGCGATGGACACGCCAAGACTGCGACGAGAGAAGCCCCTTGGACGGAACATCGGGCATCTTGGGGCACAGGTACGATATCCACCGACTAGAGAAACGTAACCTACATGTCGTCTCGCCTTAGTAGACCCCTCAGTTCATATATATTAAAGTATTCGCCAAAGAAGCAACCAAAGAACACGACGCTACAGATCCAGGGACAACATGTGTGTATACCGACGGAAGCGGTATCAACGGCCGCGTTGGTGCAGCTGCAATAGCACTAGAATCTCGAATCCATGGCGTCCTCAAATACAACAAATAACCTAATCGAGGCAACTTCACAGAAAGTGGTTTGGGGTGACGGCTCCCTATGCACCTATGCTATAGTTAAGACGGGATATTTAAATCATGGTCTTGTTGGCATCTAAACCTTTACATGTCGGCGCTGTTTTGCTTTTGCTCCCCACCGTCTTTAACTATATTGTCAACGCCGTGGGCCAGCGCAGCGCAGCTCGAGACAAAGCCCCATGACTTCTGGCCGTTGAAGTCTACCGTCTTCTTGGCATACTCGGGGCTGGTGGTGCCACAGCCGTCCCTGAGAAGCAGTGTCGAACCCTTTCGTTGACGCGTCCTGTATGGTGGCCAGGACGCACTTGTCGGTGTTGACCCCAGTGAACAGCAGCGTCGTGATTCCTTGCTTTCGTAGGAACACTTCCATCTCGGATGACGGATCCCACAGCCCTGACAGCCGCTCCCTGTAGAAGCGGACGTCGGGGACGGTGGCATCTAAGCCTGCCCGGTATGCCTCCTCCATCGGCCCGTGCAAGTGCGTGTTCCATTCGTCACACATCAACACCCGTCCCGCATCAACTTGAGTACCGTCCTCCAGTGTGACCTTGCCGAGCGGCGACCCGATGCTGCCGTCGCTCTTCCGCTCGCATCTCACTATCACCTGTCCCGGCTCGGCGTCCTAGTCGTCGTCGTTGGCCTCAAAGTCATCATCACCATCATCGGCAATCTCCCAGCCAAAGATGCGCCACACGGTGGGCGGCAATGTTTCGAGTCCGGCCTCGCTGATTCCCCAGGCTAGCCAGATGACTCGGATATCGGCCTTGCGAGCCGCCGGGAGTCCCAGTTCCAACAGCGTGTCCTCTGCATGGTGGCCCTAGCCGCGGCTGCGGCCCATTGCGGCTGATAGGAAGAAGTTTTGCATGTCGATGATGACGAGGGCCGTCTTGGCCGGGAAGATGGTGACAGGGCTGTTGGTGGTCTTCAGGGTCACGGGCGGGCACTCAGGTGGCGATGAAGGTGTTTCTGGGTGTGTCATGGCGAAGCCGCCGTTGTTAGTAAACAGCCAGTAGTTGGAGCCATTGCCCACTACAGTGGGAGAAGGGCACACGGACGACGAGGACTTTGAGACCGCCCGGACGCCGGCGACGGGGCCGGTGTTCGTCGCAGTCATGCTGACCGAGAGCGCCGAGGCGAGCTGCCTGAGCCTTGAGATCTAAAGAAAGGACGGTGAGCAAAGTACATGCTCCTAATGGAGACACGCGCAACAGAGGGACCACAGAGGGCCAGACCGAACAAGGAAGTGGCCTCATGAACAGCGTGACTGGGGTGATGCGGCAGATGGTAGAATTGAAGAGCTGAGTTGCATCTCAGAAACTACCGAGCAGGCAGAGTGCTGCTTATATTGCCTTCGGCGTGTGGTGGTCACTGGTCAGTGTTGCATGCAGAGCGCCGCCAGAGCTGCCCAACCACCAGAACCAGAACTCGAGCCGACTTGATCACTCCTGTTCTAGAATGCTCCCCCGCCGCCTCTGGGAAACCTTCAGCTCTCTTACGAACCGGGGCTATAGTCAGCACCGGCACGCCAATTCTTGGGTGTGTTGAGGCTGTGGACAGTCCGTAATCTCGATTCTGGAGCATTTTGGACACTTATTGTAGATGATTCTTTCCATCTCGTGTATATGGCATAGGGAAGTTGCTGCTCGCTCCGTTTGGCATCTTGGCTTGACATGTCAAGATTTGTGTCGCTAGGCAGTCTTCAACGCTGTGTCTTGATTATCAACACTGTTCACTGCCTCAAAAAAATTTCATTACTGCACTTTGCAGGATCAAGATTCTTTCTTTCCTGAGTCTTCGGTATTCGAGAAAGCCAGGGTACGAACGAGCGCGACAGGCACTAGTGGGAGATTTCCATGACCTCGCATCACGACCACACATGGATGGAGTACTGCTCCGGCCAGGTTCGAGCCGGAACGGAAACGGATACCGCTCCCGTCGTGGCAGAGGCTCGACCAGAAAACAGTCAGCTTCCACAAGACGTCAGCGCCCACAGGTGGTATAAGGTCATGCGGAGGAAGGGACTGGACTACGGGCGCATTTCACTTGCCAGGGGGGATGGTCGACTTCCACCACATGCCCTCGTCATGTCGTGGTTGCGGATTCTAAGACTATCCTACACATCTCGGGGGTTAATGTGACACCCCCTATCGATCCAAGCGTGGACGGTGATGACAGCACAAGTATTAAGGCGAGGTGCGAATGGGTGCCACGCGTCGATTTTCACGTGTCTATCCATACAAAGCGCCCTTTGGCTCATACAGCGGTAGTCTCAACGAGATGCACAGCTGTATTGCATCATATCACAGAAAGCGGCCGCAGATGCCGGAACCCATGATAGCAGCACCCCCGTACAAAGGTATAAGGCATGGTTCAACAGACAGGACGTTAAATTAGAAAACTCTGATGACATCGAAGCGCTTCAAAGACGGCCTGATGTACTCACTGAGCTCTCACCAACACCCCGGTCCAGTGTGTCGCTGCATGTGTGCAGATGCTTCCCCCATTTCTGAGGGGTATAGGATCCTTTCGGCATTCTCAGTGAGGGCGGCGCGCTCGACAGAGTTTCCACGATTATGCAGAAGCTTGATGCCCCGGCATTAGAATGTTTAGGGTTCGGAACGCCAAACCTCTTGAACTGGGCGCCAGGTTTGGTTCCATTACCGATGGCGTCTTGAATGGCCTTGGTTGTGCCAAGGTCAAATCCTCTACTTGGACTAAGTCTCCTCAGATGCCTCGCATTTACATCCGGATAAACTATCGTGATGGCTGCTAGGCCCGTCTTAAGCTATCGAGAGCTCAACAATAGCATCACGGTGTTATGCGCGGGAACGGCCATAGACCTGAGCAGACTAGAGCAAGAATTACAGACTTGGGGGTATGAGCCATCTCACTGCGTCATAGGTAAGACTCCAAAGGGACAGGACGTAATTTCACTCCTTGGCAGTGATGATCACTCCTTCGAGAGCATGGAGAGAGTCAAGTTTGCGACACTTTGAGGAATTTGTCGCCGACCTGGACGAATATGGCGTCTTCTGGGTTACCCAAACTTCACAGATGTACTGTCAAGATCCAGCATACGCACTAACAACGAATTATCACGGACTCTTCGCTCCGAGCTAGCAATACACTTGGCCACCTGCGAAACGGAAAACTGCGGCGATTCTGCCAGCATGGCAGCTGATGTCCTTGCCAAGTTCCCATACCAGATACCATGAGAGCTCTACGGGACCGGACTACGAGTATTCCATCCGTGACGCCGCCGTTTACGTCAATCGTTTCTTCCTTTCCTCGATAAACAGCGGGCCTGTAGAGGTGGAGGCGAATGAGGCAAACCACGAAGCGATTCTCCAAATCGATCGTCCGGGACGCCTTGATTTATTCCACTAGTCTGAAAAATCATTTGAGCCACGAATGATGGCCAAGAAGGGGTGGGAAATGCATTGCGTGGGATTGAATTTTGGAGTAGACACCTCACTTGATGTATTTCTCCTCACACCAACACATGGGTTCGACTGACCACCCCTAAACAGGATGATTCCACCGGGCATCTTGGAACTCCCAGAATCCGTCCCGAGTTACGAAGCCGTCGGAATCGTCCGTCGAGCAGGACCCCTCGCAGAAGAAGCCAGCGTCGGTGACCACGTTATGTCATATGGGCATCAAGACGTTTGCCACCCTCGTCACCGATACCGAGCAATTTTGCGATAAAATCTCTAACAATTTCGGCGTCCATTCCCTGACTAACAGGGGCCGCCTTCAAAGGGGATGGTGTTGATTCAATATGGCGCCAGCGGGTGTTGGTCTTGCCACCATCCAAATTGCGCGGATGACTGGAGCCGACATCTACACCACGGCCAGCGGCGAAGATAAGGCCAAGTAGCTCATCGACAAATTTGAAATTCCAAGAAAGCCGCATCTTTGATCCGGCGACCTCTTGCATGCGGTATGGAACTGCGCTGCTAAATGGGGCACCCTTGGTCGATATCGGAAAAACGAGGACCCTCCTGGGGACCGGAAAGCTGGGCATGGACTGTTTCTAGAGAATCGAAACTACTACAGCGTGGATATCAACCAGATGCCAGCCTAGAAGCCAGAAAACGATTGCGGCGTGGGTTTGCGTTCACCCCGTGAGCAGAAAAATTCAGCCCAAGCCCAAAACGATGCCAACATGACTATTTGACAATAGGCTCCTGAGGTTCAATGGTGGAATACTACCGCGCCGGTCATGTACAGCCCGTCCGACTTGCACAAGTAGACACGGCGGATCAATTCCAAGACGCATCCAGATACACGCAGCAAGGTAATCACATTGGAAAGATGATAATCAATCTCCGAGACGAGTCGGGAGCCTTGAAGATGGGGCAGCTTCGAGCACCCATCAACAGCTCCAGCTCGACAGCTCGGCCTCAAATTCCACTGGTAGGCAGCCTGGCGATTTAGGCCCGTTTCGTCTCCGTGTAGATGGCTCAACTGGCGCCCGAGATCTCACCTTCTCTCGTAATGCCGGCCGCGAGCGGCACGACGAGGCCCTCGAGCGAGCGCTCGGAAGCATGGGCTGCAGCGTCAGCTTTGTCCGCGGAACGTCACGAGCCGCCACAACGTGAGCCGCGCAGTGAGCGCGAATTTAGGTCCCCTACGAGGCGTCCTACAAATACCAATAGTGCTGCGTGACCAAAATTTCACACGCATGACTCTGGGGGAATGGAACGGGTCCGTTGAGTTCAAAAGGCTCAGAGAGCGCGGAACCACGTCCGACTTTTCCGTCCTGTTTAGCTCTCTGTAATAAGCCAGCCCTGGCAGAGGGGCTGGGTGGAGGAAGATGCAAGGGACGGGGTGGCGGGCGGAGCAGGAAACCGAGCTGCTGAGCGCCCCTGGGCGAGGCCATGATGGCCAGTCGCCGCCATGCCGAACAGGTCCGGCCTCGGGCCAGGCCTTTGAACACGCATCCGGCAGCAGTTTGGTTGCCCAGAGTCCATTCCCGCTGGGCATCAACACCAACAGTTCCCCCGAGCAGTCCCACCAGCCAGCGTTGGACAGCGCCGAGACGTCCGCATGTCCGTGTACCACAGCCTACGTGGCGCATGGGACAGCATCGCGGAAGCTCAAGGAGCGTCAGTAGCAACAGGTGAGACGGGCTCTGCTGGCAGCAGCCAAGAAACGACGCCGCCGTGCTTGTAGAACTAGCCACGGCGGATTGCGGGCCACAAGATGCAAAGATGAAGCCTTGCGGACCATAACAGAGGAGGGCATGTAGAGCTCAAAGTTGTGTGTTGCAGGGGCACTTGTACCATAGGTTTTCAAATTCACGCCATCCTTTTGCCATGTCACCCTCGTCGTGCACGGAATCCGTGTAAAAATGCAAAAGGACCAAACGCACAAGTATGTTCCTAACTGATGAGCCAAGACCAACGCCCGCGACAAGTCGTTTATCCGGCATACAGCGTCCCGGATGCAGCAAGACGACAGTCCAATTCCCACAGGTACTGAAGCACCCCGTTTCCGCAGCATTTTCGCCCCGGGCGCCAAGTATCAATTTGAAAACCGCTCTTGCATCAAGAACCTCGGGAGCGACGTCCAAAAGAGCAGGGTTCACCAAAAAGCATCAAAAAGACTCTATCCCACGCCAAGATGGTCCTTCGAGGGCACCCCTTTTTTGTCCGACGGGGCCCTGGGCAGGCGTGTGAATGCCAAGTTTCAGACTCTTGTCCCGTGGGCATTCAACGTGTGAGGCCTCACCTGTTACCTGCAGCTAAAGGGGGGGTCGAAAAACCACCAGACAACATCACAGACTCTCTACGGCTCCAAATACGCGTTTCCGTCCCCACAACTGGGTCCCCGGAAACCAGCCAAGCCCCGTCTTGGCCCTGTATTCATCAAAATCGTATACTACTACCGTCGATATGCACCAAAAGCGGGCTCCTGGTGGGCGGCGGGCCGGACGTAACCACTACCGGCACAAACCCCATTGTCTTGCTTGGCTGTGCCCGTCCTTGGACAAACAAGGCCCGTCCCCGTACGAGGACCGAAACGGCCGTACGTGCTTTGGCGTGCAAAAAAACCTTGTTCTGTGGACTTGGCTGCGTTTCCCGGGGTGTGCAAGAGGCAGGCTGCTCTGGGGAAATGGACAAGATGAAAAGACGTCTTTGTAGTGATTTCATGCATGAAGAAGGGAATCAAACAAAGGAAAGGAAAGAGAGAACCTCGGCCGTGGTTTCCGCAGTCAAGCGCCGTTCCGAGGCTGGAAAACCCGGCGATGGTGCCTACGGGGTACCAAACGGGCCAATCTAGCCGAAGCGGCAGTTCAAACAAGGGCCGGGACAGGACTCATGACCAAGAGGATCAAAGCGACACGAGAAACCTAATTCTTTCGCGATCCGCACGCCCCCTGCAGAGCCAAACATTCATCGCCGTTACATCGGGTTCGTCGGCCCCCCTTCCCCATCTGGAAAAAAGAGGGGGAGCGAGAAAAAAAAAGAAACCAGATCAGCGTCTGTCTATTATTTTTCTTTTGAATCCAAGGGCCGATCCGGCACTCTCCTCTGCTCACGGGCTAAACTCTATCTCAGAGGGGGGCCCCGGCGTCTCGCTTAGACGCAATTGATCGGACAAGGATACCGGGGTTTTGGCATGTTGGCATTTTACAATTCTCTTTGTGTCGCGTGGTGAAAAAGGCAAAGCGGTGCGCGTCACCTGATACCAACGAAAAAAACCCTAGCACCTCGATGGGCAGAAAATACAGGGAAAAAAAAAAGGCCATCGAGGGTGCCAAGTACAGTAAATTGGCGGTATTCGACCCTCCCCAACAGTTCTTACTTTCCCCGAACCACGTACGGAGTAATCTTTGGAAATCTGGCAATTTTCCGTTTCGTCGGCGCAGCGTAGTAGCTGTTAGTAGGGGAATTCTGGAAGCGGAAACCCCCCGCCTTCTTTGTGCGCCGGGGGGAAAATAAAAAAGAATGCAGCCCGCCGGATTTGAGAAGATCAAAACGACCAAATGCCCTTGTCACCGGCAAAAAAAAAAAATGAGAGAGAGAGAGAAAAAGAAAATCTTGGCAAAGTTTGGGGTTAGACTTTGTACGTCCAATCTCCTCCGCTTGGGGACCGGCCGTGACATCCGCCCCCCCTCCCCCGGGACCCCTGGCACGCGGGCAGAAATAGTAAATAAACCATCAAATCAATCGGCGTGCCCACGTCCCCGAGGCCCGGATACTCCCTCGCCGCCCCCTCATGCAAGAAATTCGTTTTGGGGTGTCCGACGGACATTTTTGTTCACCATGTGAGAATAGGGCCTCCGGGGTGACCAACTAGCCGTGCTGCAAACAATGGCAAGGACAAGGGAAAAAAAAAACAAGGCCCCTTTCCCACCCCCGGCCTTGATACTTTGCCGCTCCGCAGATCGCGATCCAGATGCCACCTTTCGCACCCCGACGCGGCCGAGATGCGCGTGTTTCCCAAACCGTCTCGGAAACCCAGCATGTGCACGCATCCCCAAATCCAGGCCCAAAGGAACCATGTCGCTCTTGCCATGCCAGTCATGCTTGTCGTGCTTTGTCGTCGTCCGTCGTCTTTGTCGTCCTTGCCGTGCGCCAACCCCGGCCAATCAGCAGAGGCGCGACAGGACCCACGGTAACACGACACCATCCGACGACCAAACCGACAAGAGACACAAAGACAAACCTATTTCTAGAAAATAAAAAACACCGTGCATCCACCCATGTATGTATACACCACCCCCCCTTCCCAACCCGGCCTTGGTTCACGCCCTGGAGTTTCCCGCCATCCAAGAAATACCCGCGACAAGCAGATGCGTTCACGCGAACAAGCTTGATCGTTGATGAAAAGAAATCATAGTAAATAAAAAGAAAAGAGAAAAAAACAGTGCGTGTCACGACGCCCTAAATGTTTCGAAATCCGGCCATAGTCACGACGTGGCCGGTAGAATAGCTGTCCATGTTGCTCGCATTGTTCAACGCTGCTCTTTGTCCCTTTTTCCCTTGGCCTCGCTGTTGGCTTCTGGGGCACGAGGCTTCCCTCCATCGTCAAACATGCATTTCGCCACGCTCTCAGTGTCAGCGTCAGTGTCGGGCCGACTTGGCTTGGTTATCCTGCTTCAGGTGCGTCCTTGTTGCACAAAAAGGTTAATTTGTCCCGCCTCCGCCCCCTCTGGGGTGCACCACCCCTTGGTATAATCGTTGGGTATTCTGCAGCTTTGACATGTTCACCCCCACAGCCGTGCTGCATTGTAACTTGTAGTTAATACGTTCCGGAAAGGGATATGGCAGTGTGCTGGTTGCTGGCTTGGCTGTTGTATTTCCAGACTGGCCTCAATATCAGGCTCACTTGCAGATCACGAGTGCAGACCACATCACCTTGTTTGATTTTGTCCAGTGCGTAATGCTCGAGTACATCTTGTCGACTGTATTCAGAATTCTGTATTGGGTAGATGCTGGCTAATGGGCCACCTTTTCAGTCGCCTATGCCAATGATTTAACTCTCTCAAGGCTGTAATAAGCCTCTGTAAATGATATGCCCTTTTCCTTGGGTATTTGCCCTCCTTCCATCGCTATACCGGAGCGCCAAGAATTTACACAAAAATTTGAAAAAAAAAATGATGATCCAGTCCTCCCATAAACAGTATGATATTCATTACATGCGCAGAGACGCACGTGGAAAAAGGAGAGAACAACAGGGGGGAAGGAGCTAAATTTGCATCCCCCCACATGCAAGAGCTGTGTATCTGATCTGCAATAAAAGTAGACGAAATGGAACACAGTAATCCAGACTGTGGCTTTGGGTGCGGGTTTTCGTGGATTCGTGCTGAGAATATTAGGGAAAAAAAAAAGGTTTTTATACAAGTGATCCTCGCGTTCCCAAAATTGCAAGCGGCTAGGAGTACAGGCGGTTGTCGCGTCGTGTGATAGATCGTGTACGGAGATGAAGCTAGTTTTGGGTGTGACCGAGAGCCATGTATCTCTGTTGAGAGCTCGAGGACGTGGACGCTGTCGAAGGTGACAAGTCGGACCAATTGTACTCAGAGTTGCTGCTGGTGCTCATGAAACCAAAATAAGGGTGCGCCATTTGTGCTGGAAACATGGGGGCCATTTGCTGAGCTGAGCATTGTGCGTTGTTGAGCATGTAGCTGGCAAAAGCGGCAGGGTTGCCAGCCATTTCCACCCCACGATTGGCTCCATCAATGCCAGGAGCGATTATGGTCTCTTCAGAAATACCCATCTCGTACCCAGCACCAAGGTGGAAAAGCGAGTCGCCAAAGCCTGGGGTGGTGGGTGGTGTGCGCAAGGTGGGATCAGATATAACAACATCAGGTGGCGTATACTTGCCCTCAAGAGAGTACAGTGAGGACATGGCAGCATCCACTGATCCATGTTGTTGAAGAGCAACAGGAGTATCGGGGGTGGGAGGCGCCGCAGAACCTTGACGGCCAATTGCATTGGGCGAATGTCTTCGTTGAAAAAGGATATCTGCGTTTCTATCAAAGAACGGGCTTCGAGGGGTGGCAACAGACTTCTTCACACGACCGGATCCCGCACTGGAAGAAATCCTTCGCATGGAAACCGCATGGTCGCCCGTTCTTGAAAAGTCGCAAACTCTAGACGAGTACGAGTGGCTCCGGCCACCGGTAATAGAGAGTGGAGCTGGGCGTCGGTTTCGGCGGGAGGCAATGTCTTCTTCAGGGGACCTTGGTTCGGAATCATCAGTGAATGGTGATGAGTCGGCATCTTGCTCATGCCTGTCGGTGTCGTGCTGGCAACCAAATCCGGCGAAGAGCTGTTGCTCGGCCGCCTTTGAGGTGACAGCCAGCATGGACCCATCCTGCATGGCCAAGTAATCATCCACCCGATCAGACAGGCCACAATTCTCATCCTCCTCCTGCTCAGTTTTGAGCAAGAGTCCGCTGAATTTGGAAGGACGAGCCACGCCGATTTCCTGCTTTATGGGAAGCGAGAGCGGGGAGAGGAGGTCAGATTCATCGCTCTGGCTAGGCTCATTAGTCTCGCCAGATGGGTCAGAAAGACATTTCTCCGAGGGTGACAGGGCGGCTTCAGACTCTGGCTTCGTGTTCATGCCTGGTTGGGGGAACGGGGCACTCGAAGCAACCAAGTCACGTTGACGACTACTCTCAGACTGAGATGCCTCCGAGGCCTCGGATCTTTCCTTCTCCAGTCGCTGTTTGGCCTCGTACTCCCTGATATTGTTCTCCTTCTTCTCACGAGCCCGTCTGTTTTGAAACCAGTTCTATCCCCAATGGTTAGCACAACACGCTGGTGCAATGTGGAACGCCATTTCATGACGAGGCATTCACTGACATTGATGCGAGCATTGTCCACTCTCATGGACTCAGCAAGGGCCTTCTTGGTCGTACTACTAGGTTTGTGGTTCTTCTGGAACTCGGCTTCCAAAAGTTCGACTTCTTCCTTGGACAGGCGAGGTTTCGATTCAGTGGCCCTAGACATCTGGTGGTGTTGAACCAGGCGGCTGTGATGTGGTTGATAGGCGTCCAGAGAATCGTGGAGGTAAGCGTTAAAGTTGGAAAAGTGCGTGTATGTCGAAAATGGATCTGCCACGTTGGAGTAAGCCCATGACGGCCATAGCTGTTGAGAGAAAGGTCCCATTATGTGGCTCTTGGTGCTGTTGGAAAGATTGAGACGATGGCTGTTGCACAATGTATGAGAGATATTGCGAAAGGTCAAGTCGTGTAATGGAACGCAACGGGGGAGCCGATCAAGAGAGAGGAGGTTGATTAACGAAGGGACGTCAGTTTTTTTTGTAAAGACTTCCAGAACTTTAACGGCAAGGAAAGGACGGCAATCTCTGTTGGATTTTCAATGCGAGGCCGAAAGCGGGACAGAAAGCTGGCGTCGTCTCTTTATCAAGGGTCGAATATAACAGCCTAGGGAACAAAGACCTATATGGCCCGATGGAGAGATTGTCGAAAAGGGTGCGCAAGAGTGAGACACAACCCAATCAAATGTGTCTACTCTTCTTGCCCTGTTCGTGAGGTGTTGTTCAAGGGGGCACGAAAATCTTGGATGAGGAGAGGGTGTTCACGAGGGATTGAGAAGTTGGGCGAGGGGCACAGAGGGTAAATGAAGGAAGGGAAAGACGAGTCTGGTGTGTACACACACTCTCTCTGTATGGTTTCCGGCATTGCATTGGCCTAGGCCCTGGACATCGTGGGCTGTGAGATGGCGTGTGTTTGGTGCGCAGCTGCGGCCGGGGGGACGGAAGGCAGAGCGAAGACGACCCCTGCCGTGGACGGGCATCATCGAGCAGCGCTGAGACTCCAGGACATGGGCAGAGCCCAGAGCAAAGAAAAGAGGACGTGGCGGCACCTCCGGAGCACATTGTGCCCTCCAGGATGGCCTCGAGGACGGTTTGGCCACGGCCAGCTTTGGCAGGGACGTCAGCTCCTTTGGGTCGTGGACGTGGAGAGACTGGGTGTAGGTGGGCTGTATGGCGACGCAGCCAGGAGCGGCTTGCACGGCCAGGGGTGGTGTGGAAGGGGGGCCAGGCTCTGGACCACTTTGGACACGCCCTTCTTTTGTTTGCCGTCCTTGCTTCCTTGCTTCCTTGCCATCCGCGATGGACACACAGGACGGCATCTCGCACAAATCTTCAAGTCAGCCGGCGACTCCCACTAGCCGGGGGTAGGGTGTGTAGGTTCGAGGCGTTGTGGGCTGGGTCGAGCCATAGAGCCATGGCACCGCGGCGGACCAAGGCTGCCGCAGTGGCGGCGCATGGCCCGTCCAGTCAGAGGGCATCCCTGGCAAGCTCCCTCTTAACCAAGGACGACGAGAACTGGGGGCCGTTCCTCTCGCTCCTCTCGCCGCTCCTTGCAACGGTGGAACCGCGCGCGCCTGGGGAGACGTTGAAGGGGGGTTGATGGTCTGTTGTAGCCCATGGCGAGCTCCTTTGCACACTTGCTGCGATACCGCTAGGCCCAGAGCGCCCCCCTTGCCCTCGCCTTCGTGCGTTTAGCGTGTCTGTAGGGATCGCATGGCCATGGTAGAGCGCGGACGCGATGAGACACTCAAATCATGGTCGTATTGCGTCAGTTCGAGCAGCGGTACCGTCTCTGCAGTTTGTCCAACACCATGGTCCGTTGCCGTCGTCGTCGTCCGATTCTCCTGGTCTTGCGACATATCTATAGTTATGGCGGCACCATGTTCGCGCTCATAGACAGGACCTGGGACAGAGCGTATGTACGAGCTTCAGTGCTGCACGGTTGATGGTAAGGGAGGTGGAGGCCAGAACCTCCACAAGCCGCGGGTGAGAAGCCTTGCTGTAGACAGACTCGTTCATTTCATCCGTTGGGGGAGTCCTCAGCATCTTCCGACTTCCACAAAGTTTCCAACCATCAAGGGCAGGTATCCTGCAACCCAGTTCAAGATGACTGCTACAGCAGCTTTGGCAGATATGACCTGTGCCTCCTGCTGTTCCATCTTTCAACCTTTTGAGCTGACGGTAAGCATGTGGATGCGACGAGCCGGCTGCTCCGTTGCTACACTTGTGCATCCATCAATGAAGGGCCAGGCGCGGCGGCGAACTGATGGCCCGAATCTGAGCATGCATATCCGCAAACGCTTGCGCCTGCGATACAAATTTGTCTGTCCCTTTGTCATTGACGGCTCTTCCCGTCTCTTTCAGTCTGTACAAGTGGCCTGGCCCTCTGGGGTCTGGCTCATCTCCATAAGATATAATCGTATGTATGTACGTACTCCGTACACACAATCAAATGTGGTACGTCTAGAGAACGGGACCCATTTCTCTCTTTCCAGCCTGGTCGCTTTATGCAGCTCCCGTTGCCTTTCGTGTCTACCACACCTTACCCTCATTACCTCACAGGCTTGAACTTGGCTCCATCATAGACACGGACCACGGGCTCCACGAGAGCTCCAGGCCGACGCAAGAGAAGGAGCACAGGCACCCAGCGAGAAAGAAGCCCGATTCCCTGCAGCTCGCGTGGTACTCCCTCTGCAGGATGCAGTTCCCACGGTGCAATACATAATACACTGCTCTTCTCCGTACCGTAGCTCCCACCCTCCGTACGTATATGTATATGTACTCCGTACACAAGACGAAAAGGTCCCGGCAGGCTAGTCTGGCTCAAACCCCCAGGGCTGGGCAAATTCCGCTTTCGGCGGGTGCTGCGCAACGAGAATGGCCTTCCATTGGCTCCTATCCCGTCCGCTCACACGCTTGGCTGCACGTCACAGCCGGGGTGGCTGCGTAGATTAAACAGATCATGGCCCCATATGGCGTCGTTGGTTTTAGGGCCGTTATACCACACGAGTTGCTGTTTCCCTGCTGGCTCGCCTCGCAAGGGGGGGGGCCTAGTTCACTCACCACAACCACCGTTCGTAGCCTCCGGGACCTTGCGGAGAGGTCTCTCTCCAGTTTAACCGTCGCGGTCGTAGTCGTTTAGGCGCGTAGGGTTCCTCCCTCTACTTAAATAGATTGAGTTTGTGGTGGAATTCCCCCATTTATTTAAAACGGGCGTCCTCTGTTTTTGGCAATCCTCCGCGACAATTAACGATCCTCCGTGGCGGGCCAGGGTGGTGGTCGTCCAAGAGACTTCGAGACTTCTCTGGGTGTTCTGGCTGATGTCAATCACTACTTTCTTTTTCCAGATTTATGCTCCGTATTGCCCGCAGCATTGGTTTCTCTACAGCTATTTCGAGTATGTCTTGCTTTTCTCCGGCTCGTTGATCGCTTCAGGCCCTAGCTATGCCTCTAGTTTTTGCTTTTTTGTTTTTCTGCCATGTGCGTACAGGGAGTAGGATCGGCTAGGCCGTTCCGGGATCAAATGCAACCCACCGTATGGCAGATTCCGAACCCATTGCCCGACAGCCCTGCTACTTGCTAAGAAGAATGGTGCTTGGGTGGTCTGACCACAGCGTGACATGTTTCCGGGGAGAGCGCGGCTCGCTAACATTGGCATCGTAACTATGTACTTAATCATCTGGAGTGATTGGCAGTAATGAAACGCCGTAGTAGGCGCCATGCGAAAAGAGACGCTTTACACCCACTGCATAGTTACAAAGTTTTGCACGTCTTTTTTGGACGGTTTGGAAAGACGTCACAACAGCCCTGGCGGATAAGAGCTCCATGAGAGAGCCCTTGGGAGAGAAGTCATGGAAGGGCTGCGGGGGTCCAACTAGCTCGTTTACCTGGGTTATCAAGGTGAGGCAGCGCCGAGATAGATAATTGGCAAGATAGTAGTTGCAAGGCCAGAACTACACCAGCAGGAAGGCTTGGCCATGTGCTGTCGCTTTTCCATATCCAAATGGCTTCTCAGTTAGCATACCTAGGCTGTGCCACCAAAATCGTCATGCCTCGCGAAAGGCTAATCATGATGTATCGTGACCGAAAGGTCGGCGAGCTACCCTTGGCCTAGTTATCAGATCCTGCATAGGGAAAACTGATGGGTGATGGCTAGATGTCCACAGAGTACCGGCCTGGTCTGGATGTTGACAGGCTCTGATTTGTATAATCCCACATTGTGGTATGATGTTGTCGTTGGCGGACCCTCGGTGTGCAACACTGGCACCCGGACAACAAACGATTATCTCTGGCAGTTGGCGTTGGCACAGACAGTTGAACGCTTTGATTAGAAAACCAGGACAAACACTGGCAAAACTCCCCATGTCGCTTTCCGAAGCACGCGCGCCGCCTCAACAGCCTTTGTCTAGACAAGAAATTTCAAAGTTGCCAGGTTGCCCTTTGCAGCCACAAGGCGCCTCCAGCAACAACATCTGGTGTCCAGCGGTGGTGGTAGGGTGACTGGGGATCTGGCAGTCTGGATGACCGCTGGCTGGGTTGACAAGATCCAAGACATCCAAGACACTGGTTACCAGACACAGGAAAGCGATGGCGAGTGCATCCTCGAGAAGATTTTGGATGGGCGGGTGCAATTCGCCCGTGCCACAGCCAAATGAAGCCCAGCTTCGCTTACGGCTGCCTCTGATTCGCCAACATCATTCCTGCTCCCACAGTCAGCCCCAAGTCAGGTGTACTAGTAGGTATCCCCTCGAGGCAGCGAAGGCTCCAGTGAGCTATCTCTCTCCACAAGGCCCTGGAACCCCCCCGGCAGAACCCTGTAATCAAATTATCGATACTTTTATTTGGTAGGACTAAAGTAATAATAAAAGTACCGATTAGTCGAGACTACTTATTGGCCCTAATTCTCGAAAGATACATCGTTGGAGCCTGCGCTGCCTCTAGGAGATACAAAGTACCGAGGACGCAGGGACCACGCCCAAGTCCACGCAGCCCACGGCCCACGTAACCACTAACCAAACCTCAGAACCCCTTGTCCGTAGTCATCAGAATCTCACACTCTTTGCCTCGCCGCCCATCTGCCTCCCTCCATCGCACTGAAGTCGGAACACTGTCTAGCACCCAAGCCCCATGGCGTTCGAGTTAGCATGACTGGCGCCTTGTTTCCAACCCGGTGCAGCTCGCGGCCAAATTAACCCGGATAGAAGAAACGCAGAGAAGTGTCCCTGAGAGCGTCTGGTCTGAACTGTCGCCGGCAATCTAGGCCAGTATGGCTTCACAGCTGAAGCCACCATCACGATAACACAAGAACAGGTTCCGATGCTATTATTCGAATCAGGCTGAGCCCTTTCAACTGCCCTGTCACTCACTCTTCCGAATTCGGTACATATCGTATCCATTTGAAGCCCTGGGAAAGCCATTGGCGTAAGTGCTTCATGTCTAAAAGGCAGGAGAGCCAGGCTATGTTCCCCCGAACTACATACATTGTTCACTTGAGCGGAGTCGTGTGCCGCGCTGAATCAGCTCGACATTGAGGTTGACACCTAGCCAGCTGTCATTGTGTTGAGTTTTCAAACGAACTATGATGAGAAGTTGGCGACCGCGAATATGAGGAGCGTTAATTTCATCGCCCATGTTTCAGTCCCGTATTCCAGACGCAATACGGAGTAAGCATAGTCGAAATTGTGCAAATATGCCAAGATACAAGGAGGGATTATGAGTCCGCAATACGGGACTTTATGGCGCGTGCGACTTTAGCAGGAGATATCTCCCCCGGTAGCATGGCATAGAGCTTAAAGAAAGTAGACATGTCAACCCCCTCTTGGCAGCGAGTTCTTGTTAAGCCTATTGAGGCTATACCGGCGCCGATCAACCCAGCTGTCTGGTTCCCCGTTGGGTTGGGTTGGGCTGGGCTGGCAAGCTGGGCTCGCCGTCTGCAACCTGGCCTGTCCTTGGTCTCAGATTCGTCTCCGCGGATGTTGCCGACAGTTTGTACGACGCAATCGCAGTCAACGCTTGCCACGTGCCTGTATCCAGCATCGAGCATTAACCAACAGACCGGATGAGACTATGTGGGTGACCAATAGGCTGCTTATGCCGTGGCTTCAGGAGCCCAAATTTCCGCTAGAGAACAAATCTAGGGTGTATCATGACAATATTCAAGCATCCCGGACTGCATGGTATTGAGTCAACAACGTGGAGTCGCCGACATTATTGGAACTGGAAAGAAAAGTCCTCTCAATTCTGACATCTCGGTACGGGCCCCAAAGATGTTCGAACAAGAAGGGAACAAGAAGCAAACAAAATAAGGTCGGTAAAAAAA